CATTTGTCTCGAGCAGCGAAGCAGCAGCAGCGACAGGGAGATCGACTGCCGCCGAACCAATAGCAGCAGCAGCAGCAGAGGTAGCAGCAGCAGCAGCAGCAGCACTTGAGCCCTGGCCCGGATACTCGTAGGGTCCAGGGCCCTAGCAGCAGACAAGACGACCGAAGCAGCAGCAGCAGCGTAGGCAGCAGCAGAAGCAGCAGCAGCAGGATGCAGTTCCCCTACGGAAGCATGGGGGCCCCCCTGGGGGCCCCTCTAGCCGCTGCGCCGCATGCTGGTGTTGGTACGGAACCACTCCTTGTTGCTGCTGCTGCTGCTGCTGCTGCTGTGCCCGTTTGTGAGGCAGCTAGTGCAGCAGCACGAGTGTTCCGTCTGCAGCAGCAGCTGCTGCTGCTTGTGCGTGTTTCTGCTGCAGCGCCGCTGTTCTACGGGGCAGCTCCTGCTGCTACAGCGGCAGTAGCAGCAGCAGCAGTTGCGCCTATTGCTGCTGCTGCTGCTGCTCCCGTTGCTGTGGCGCCTCTTGCTGCAGCAGCAGCGGATGTAGGAGCAGCAGATAAGGACGTGAGGCGCTAAAACGAGCACAGTCCCTCTGTAACCCTTTCAGCTTCCAGGGTTTAGGGTTTAGGGTTTAGGGTTTAGGGTTTAGGGTTTAGGGTTTAGGGTTTGTGCGTTTAGAAGGGCGACGAGGAGGAGGCCATCGCTCGCTGCCACCTGCACACGAAGCCGCAGCTCTCTTGCAAGTTTTGTCGAAAATACAAAAGTGAGTTTTATTTTTGTTTTCTTTTTTGTTCTTTCTTATCCCTTTTTGTTGCTTTTAAATTAATCTTTTTGTCCCCCCTTTCCTCCTTTTCATTGTCTTTTCATTTGTCTTTTTTCTGGTTCATTTGACCTGCTGCTGCTGCTGCTGCTGCTGCTGCTGCTGCTGCTGCTGCTGCTGCAGGCTTCACGCAGCAAATGGGCGTGCTGCAGCAGCGGGCCATTGCTGCTGAGGAAGAGACGCAGCGGAAAAATATGGTGCAGATGACTGACAGCACCACCTACAACGTCAACCAGCTGCTTAGAGGTTTGCTGCTGCTGCTGCTGCTGCTGCTGCTGCTGCTGCTGCTGCTACGGTTGGTGGCGCTGCGTTCGCTGCCGTATCTGCTGCTGTGCTGCGGTGCTGCTTCGCCCTGGATTTGGGTGCAGCTGGGTAGTTGTATGCTGCTGCTGCTGCAGCTGCTGCTGCTTGAGCTGCTGTTGGTGCTGCTTGAGCTGCTGCTGCTGTTGTTTGGGCTGTTTGCTGCTGCTGCTTGGGCTGCGAGCTGCTGCTGCTTGAGCTGCTGCTGCGGCTGCCCGAGTTTTGCTGCTGCTGCTGCTTGTGCCGCGCTGCGGCGGCTTCAGCTGCTGCCGCTGCCCGAGCTGCTGCTGCTGCTGCTGCTGCTGCTGCTGCTGCTGCTGCTGCATGCAGGGAACATAATGTCTTCGGAGTACTTCAAGTCTTTGCATCAATTCAAAAGTTTCAACGAAGTTGTTGATGAGTTGGCAGCTTTTGCTGACCACGCGGAGCCTTACTGCAGCGGCAGCACAAGGGCCCCCTCCACGCTTTTCTGCTGCCTCTACAAGCTCTTCACCCTCAAACTCACCGAAAAACAAGTAAGCAGCAGCAGCAGCAGCAGCAGCAGCAGCAGCAGCAGCAGCAGGGGCAGCTGCAGCAGCAGGGGCAGCGGCAACAGGGGGCAGCAGCAGGGGCAGCTGCTGCAGCAGGGGTAGCAGCGGCAGCAGCAGTGGTAGCGGTGGCAGGAGCGGCAGGAGCGGCAACAAGGGGAGCAGCGCGGGCTGCTGCTGCTGCTGCTGCTGCTGCTGCTGCTGATGCCAGCGGGCAGAAGGGAGATCCTGCTGCTGCGGGTGCTGCTGCTGGCTGCTTGGGATGTGGCTGCGGCTCCTGGCGGTTCTGTTGCTGCTGCTGTTGCTGCTGCTGCTGCTGGGCAGTGCTGTTGAACAGAGCTTCAGAAGGGTCCGTGCAAGGGGACAGTTTGCTGCTGCTGCTGCTGCTGCTGCTGCAGATGCACATGCTGCTGAACCACCGCGAGTCACCTTATGTGAGGTGTACGGGCTTTCTCTATCTTCGATACGTCCACCCTCCAGACCAAGTATGCTGCTGCTGTTATTGCTGCTTTTGCTGCTGTTGCTGCTGCTGCTATTGCTGCTGCTGGCATTGTTGCTGCTGCTGCTGCTGCTGCCTGCGGTGGTGCGCAGCAACGCTAACGTTGCTGCTGCTGAAGGCACCACCGCAGGAGTGTGCTGCTTCTTTTACTTTTTGGAGGGGCGCGTAGTGCTGGAACTGCGGAGCTTGCTGCTGCTGCCAAGTTTGCTGCTGCTGCGGAGCTTGCTGCTGCTGCTGAGTCTGCTGCTGCTGCTGCAGCTGTGGAAGTGGTACGAGCCGTACTTTCTGGACGACGAACAGTTCACTCCGGGGGCCGATCCCAACAGAGTCATTTCAATGGGTAAGAGCTTTTTGTCTTTTTTCTTTTGCTGCTGACGCAGCAGCAAAGTAGCTCCTTTTGCTTCCCCCAGGGCCTGCAGCGGCTGGCTGCTAGCCAGGGGCAGCTAGCTAGCCAGGGGCAGCTAGCTAGCCAGGGGCAGCTAGCTACCCAAGGGCAGCTAGCCAGCCAGAGGCAACTGGCCCTCCCTAAGAAGCTAGCTAGCTGGGGGCAGCTAGCTAGCTGGGGGCAGCTAGCTAGCTGGGGGAGCTAGCTAGCTGGGGGAGCTAGCTAGCTGGGAGAACTAACTAGTTGGGGGAGCTAGCTAGCTGGGTTCAGCTAGCCGTGCAGCTAGCTGCTGCTGCTGCTGCTGCTGCTGCTGCAGGGGAGTACGTGCAGTCGCTGCTGACGGAAGACAAGTACTTCTCCACAGTGCTGCCGCGGCTGCCAGTGCTGGTCAAAAACGTCTACGGCGCGCAGCTAATGACGCTGCAGCAGCACAGAAGGCGGAAGGCCTTCAACAGGCGCCACATCGAGGCCTTCTTGCCAGCAGCAAAGTGCATTGCGCTCTCCAGGTAGGCCCCCAACCAGCAGCAGCAGCAGCAGCAGCAGCGGCAGCAGCAGCAGCAGCAGCAGCGGCTGCTGCTGCGTGGTGATAGTGGCGGGGTCGTTGCTGCTGCTGCTGCAGCATTCAGTGGTAGTTATGGTGTAGTTGTGCTGCTGCTGCCTCTTTGGATGCTGCTGCTGCTGCTGCTTCGTCTGTGGGCAGCGGTGGTGCTGCTGCTGCTGCCATGGGCTGTAGTGGGGGAGGGGTGCTGGTGAAGCTGGCGCTGCTATTGCTGCAGCTGCTTGTGCTCCTGCTGCTGCGGCTGCTGGTGCTGCTGCAGTAGAGGTGCGGCAGCACGAGGAGGTCAGGAGAAGCAGAGAGTCTATTCTTTGCCATGCGCACCTGCAGCAGCAGCAACAGCCACCGCAGCAGCTGCAGCAGTAGCCACAGCAGTAGCCACAGCAGTAGCTGCAGCAGCAGTAGATGCAGCAGCAACAGCAGTAGCCAGAGCCGTAGCCACAGCAGCACAAGCAGCAGCAGCGTTTACAGCAGCAGCAGCACCAGTTGCATAGCAAGGACACTGTGGTTCTGCCTCCGCGAGAGCAAACAACTCCTCAGCAGCAGCAGCAGCAGCAGCAGCAGCAGCACTCCGTATGTGTTGGTCCCACTTACCTGCACCGCTCAACGCAGCATCTGCTGCTTCAGCTGCTGCAGTTGCCGCTGTTGTTGCTGCTGCTGCTGCTGCTACTTGTTCCCCCCCCAACATTTGTGCCCACCAGCTTGCTGCGTCAGCACTTGTTGCCCATAAAGTGCTGTTGCAGAGGCCTTCCGGGCCTGAGCGTGCTGCTGCTGCTGCTGCTGCGTGGATTTGCTGCTGCTGCCTGAGCTGCTGTTGCTGCGTGGCTTCCCCGTAGCAGCTGCGCGTCTTCGCGGCTGGCTCTTTGCGGCTTGGCGGCTGGCGTTGCTTCGCGCAGCTGCTGCTGCTGGCACCTGAGCCGCTCCCGCTGCTGCTGCTGCTGCTGCTGCTGCTGCTGCAGCGGGGACTGGCTGGAGGGCACCGTGGTGTCCGTGGACAGCAAGGGCGTGTGGGTCCGGCTGGAAGACGGCAGCGAAGAACTTGTGGACTTGGGACTTGTGCAGCTTCTTTCTTACAAAGTTGAAGGGGCCCCCGCCAAAGCCAAGCGCAGCAGGAACAGAGACAGGGACAAAGAGCGACGCAGAAGGTTAGCCTCCAGCCCCGCTGCTGCTGCTGCTGCTGCAGCTGCTGCTGCAGCTGCTGCTGCTGGAGTTGCTGCGGGTGCAGCTGGTGCTGGTGGCGGGCAGCGAGGGCTGGGTGGGGATTTGGGGTTGGGTGTCAGCAACAAACGACGCACCTCCAGCTACTGCCGTTGCTGCTGCTGCTGCTGCTGTTGCTGCTGCAGC